AAAATCAATCTCTCAATAATATAAAAATTTAATTACAATATCACTGCAACAAAATTTATACTCTTAACATAAAAAAAAAGAAAAATAATAAAAATAAATATTTCAACTTAATTTACAATTTATAATCAATTTGTGAATAAAATTTAAATTATAACTTCTTTTTTTTTTATGTATAATAAAATATTTTTTTATATATTACAAATAAAGAAATCACTGAATCCTACTCTACTAATCATCGGCAGTTAATCTTTTTATCTTTTCCTGGAATTTGACAATTTTTACAACGATAATGGATTATTTTGTCAAATAATTTTTAGTATCCAAACATAATCCTATTTGACTGCAGTGAATACATAGTGAAAAAAAAAAATGGAAATAAATAAAAAATCTAAACAAAATTTAAAAGAATAATCAAACAAACAAAAGTTCTAGTTTATCACTTGAATATTAAAGTAGCAACGAATCATTCGCCAATCAGCTTCGATATTTAGAAGACAGTCTCTTCAGATCCTAACTTTTCATCTACTCTCTTTTTTCACCATGATGATCCCGTAAATAAAAATCAAATAAGACAATATTAGATGTAATGTAAGTGGATCGATGATAATAGTCAATTTTGATCCGATAAAAATATAAAATAATAAATTTCGATCTATTTATTCTTGTACTTTAACCGCGTTAACCTTTTTCCACTTGCTTTATCTTCTGAATGGCGATAACATCATCTTTTTTTTTTATATAGTTATTATATTCCAATCTAATCCAAATTGCTCAACCGATATAATTGTATATATATATATATATAGAAAAAGAAAAATTAATTTTTCTCCAGTGACATTGAAAATTATTATCCCACTATTTAAGAAATATTTAAAAAAATTTGTCATTCACACCCTCTCTATCATTTATTTCTATACCTCTATTTTTCTATTAAATTAACTTATAAAATATATTTTAATATTTATTAATATATAATCAAGATAAATATAAATATAATACTTAATAAAATAAAGGAAGTAAATCAAATAAACAACATTGAAAACACGAATATACATAAATAATTGGGTAAAATTAATCTAAAATTTATTATATTTTTTAAATTTTTGAAATTTTAATAAAATTATTTTAAAAAATAGATATAGGATATCACATATTTATTATACAAATTTTATTTACTTATTTGTGGATCATAATCTAATAAAAAATAAAGTAATTAAATATAAAAAATTTATATAATAAAAACAGTTAATTAATAATGAAATAATAAACTCTAATTCTATAGAACTGTATAAGAAAAAATCAAAATTTTAAAACTACAAAATTGCATAACTTTTTTAAAAAGTAGGGTCCATTATATATATATATATATATATATATAAAAGATAAGATGAGATTTGTATTTATGTCATGTGTGCTGTTATATGTGCTAATTAATATTTTGATGACTAAATATAACAGTTAGCAATATTTACATATAATGAAAAATATATAATAATAATCACTTTGTTCCCAATCAATGTTATCCATTGTATTATTTTGAATTATTCATAACTAATATATTTATTTTTTAATTTAATAAATCCTATCTCCACATAAGACAGTATTACCTTTCACCTAAAATTAATATTCCCTCCGTCTCATGCACCGTGTCTGTTACACTGTAGATACGGTATTTTAGGAGGGGTGTAATTAGTAGATAATTAAAAATATATCAGTGAAAATAATTACTCTATAATATAAATAACTATAAATTAAGATTAAGATAACTAATTAGTTTAATTAAAATTTAAAAAAAAAAGAATAAATTAAAAAGTTTTAAATGAGATTAAAGTGTGTAATCATTTTCAAAAAAGGAAAGTGACATGGAATGTGAGACGGACAAAAACGGCAACGTGGACATGGTATGTGAGACGGAGGGAGTAATATACAATCACATGATTTTACAATTTATCAATTATACTTTCAATAATATTCGAATCTAAAATATTTTTCCAGATTATTTATGAACATAAAATATTAATCCTATATTAAAGAGCTAATTTCGTTACCAAACAAAAATTCCATAATCAATTAAAAAAAATATTAATCTTATATCAAAGATTTAATTCTGTTACTACAAAAAATTCTATAATCAATTAAAAAAAACTTCAAGTTTGTTTATTTAGTATTTCGGTTTACAGTATAATTTTTTTCATGCAAATTATAAGAAATTGTATAAGTAATATAAATAATAATATTTTAGATTGAATGTTGAATTTTGATGAGACTATAAAATATAGTATACTTCATATGTCCATTTTATAAGACTACATTTGCTTTTGACGAAGTTTAACGAATAATAATATTTTAATTATAATGAGTAGTTAAAATTAATGTAAAAATAATTTCTCTTACTTTTTTTTTTTGTGAAAATAATAATATAATGTTAAAGTAGATGTATTTATGGAAAAAGTAAAATATTTTTGAAACAATTATTTTTGTAATTGAACACTTTAAAATAGAAATATGTATATTTCATAAATGAACGAACGTTGTATTATATATTGTGAATTTTGTAGAAAAAAAAAATTGTTGAAAAAACAACTCAAACATACTTTATGCTTTGAAAATATTTTAAAATATAGTATAATAAAAATAATTATATATTAAGATTAAAATTAAATAGTATATTAGAAATATGATTAAAGTGTATAATTATATTTCTAAAAGATAAAAGAGTGAACAAATTATGTGAAAGAAATAAACTAACTTAAATATAAAAAAAGCGTAAAATTAAATAAATAAAAAAATATGTAATACAAATATAATATTTTAAATTAAATAACAAGTACCCCTACTTTATATGATATTTTCCTATAAAATTATTGATAAAACAGGACTAAACACCAAACAACAAAAAATTAATGACTCTTGTTTGTTCGTGTTTATCAATGAATTTGTTTTTTATATTACTTATGAAAAATTGTATCAATAATACAAAAAATAATATTTTATATTAAATTATTAATTTTTTTTAATGAATAAAAAATATATATCTATTATATTGTGTTAATATGAATATATATTGTACTTCTTATAATATTTATAAAAAATCATGCAAAAGATATTGAATGAACATACTATATATATATTAAACTTTTTGATACTACTCATCAACAATAATCTATATATATATTATTTTTTTTAAAAAAAATCACATTATACCTTTTTATTCCAATAAAACATTACATCATATTAAATATTCTACTTTTATTATACTCGAAAGTTTCCACAACTATAATTTCTATATAAAGGGAGCTTATGTTAATTTGTTATTTTAAATTTATGCTAAATTCTTATTATTTGTACTTTGTATTTTTTAATAAATATATATATATATACTCCTTTGTTTTCATTATAAGTGTTAAAATACGAAATTAAAATTCTCTATTTTAATCATAAGAATATATACATATTTATAGTGATATTAAGAATTTTTTAAATAAGATTGTTGAGCACAAATAATAATAATAATAATGATAAATAATGGCAGTAGGATTCTGGATGGGTTTGGATATAAGCCAAATAGCCTAGAAATCGGGAAAAAAAAAGTGGGACAGACGCGGAGGTCTGTAAAGAGGAAGGTCGGGCAATGAAGAAGTATGGACAGACGGTCTGTCAAGAGGAAGGTCGGGCAAGGAAGAAGTATGGACAGACGCGGAGGTCTGTCAAGAGGACAGTCTGTCCATCTAAGGAGAGAAGGCAAATAGAGCAGGTCGGTTGCTCTGTGGTCGGGACCACAGTTGGTTGGTCTGCAGTCGAGACCGAGGTCGAGACCACAGTCGGTTGCTCTGTGGTCGGGACCACAGTTGGTTGGTTTGCAGTCGGGACCGAGGTCGGTTGGTCCGTGGTCGGGACCACAGTCGGTTGTTGCAGAGTTCGGACCAAGTGAGGTCGGGCGAAGAAGAATGAGACGGACGATACGTGGTCGTACAAGAGACCAGATGGTGGTCGCTTGACGGGGCGGACAAGGAATCGTTTGGTCTAGCGACCAGTTAGTCTCTGGATTGGTCGGGTGAACGAAGTCGGGCAAGAAGGGACATGGCAGTGGATGTGCAGGTCGGACAAAAGGCACTTCTGGGACGGTTCAAGTCGTGAGAGGCAGTTCTGGGGCGGTTGGAGGAAGTTGCAACCGGACGAACGGTTGAAGGAAGTTGCAACACGTGTCAACAGAGGAGGACGGTTGACAGCAGTTGCTGTAACCGACCAAATGGTGATTCAAACCGCTTCTTTAAGGGGTTATTTAAAGGTCTATTTTTTATCTAAAAAAACATCTTCAATCAACATCAAATTGCTTTTGGGGATCACCACTTTATTTTCCAGTCTTTTATTTTATTTTATGCATTCTACAATATTTAGAGATTCCTAATCTCAGGCACTCATCTATCAAATTCGAAGATATTTCTCTATTTTCGAATTTTACTTTTTATTACTGAAAAAATACATCAACAAAGATAATTATCATAAATATAATATATTGCTTCTAAATATATTTTAACAATAAGATATATATATATTTTATTTTTATCCATCTCAAAATAGATATTCATTTTCTTATTTCATAATTGTAGTACACATCTAAAATTCAAAACATTTTTACATTTATATTATATTAAAACAATGTCATTGCATTTATATATATATATAAACAAATGACAAAACTAAAACACAATTATACTACTATAGTAATATAACACACCCCTTAAAAACATTTACCCATCCTCCCTTCAACACTTTCACGATTACACCTTCTTCGAACATCGCTCTTGCGATCCGTCTCTTCGTGGTTGATGAACTTTCTTTTCGATACAACCCTACAGTGATCTCACTTGCTCCCGGAGTCGGCGGAAGGTCGTTCCCCCTTATAGAGGATTCGTTCTCCTTCAAATTAACGGTCGACTCCATATGTTGTTTAGCAATTTGTATATATATTTTTTTCTTTTTTAAGTCTATTTTCATTTTATCTCTTGGTTTCGCTTCTGATTGGAGCCGGGGACGGAGCACAAGCCGTAGCTTTTGTTCTTAAACAACGATGGAGTACTTTGTTTGAATTAAAGGTGAAATTGAAGAGGCAGCTTCAAGCTGCTCTTCCATTCATGATATTGTCGATGCTTTCCTTCGTTAATACTGTCCCCTCGCTATTGACATACCAGCACGGACAGTTCTACATGGGAGCTAGGGTCAGCTGACCCTCAGATCCCAAAATATAGATATTTTTTAATATAAAAAATAATGAAATTATGTATGTTATTATTTTTGCCCCCTTCTTTCTCCCAATTTTTTATTTTATAGTTTAAAAAATAATAAAACTTTTTTTAGTTTTATTGATTTATAGTTTTAGATTTTATTTTTTATTTAATAAAAAATATTATATATTTTATGTAGTTTTGTTAAATTTTTCTTTAAATATTTGATTTTTATCCATTTTTTCCTACTTGTTTACCTGGTTGCACGGGAGAAATAATAATAATAAAAAGATAAAAAATAAAAATAAATTTGAATCAAAAAAATTAACTGATATTTTGCCAAAAATATTTTTATATTAAAAATATTATAAAATAATTATAAAAAATATTTTTGTTGAATTATAAATATATATTTATATCAAATAATTTTATCAAAAAAGAAAAAATAATAATAAATATGACCTACAATATGATTACAGTGAAAACATGGTCGTGAACATGGCCGTGTTCAAAACATGGCAGGAACATGTATTGAGAACATACGCAGGAACTGTGTTCAGAATATGGACAGGAATACAACTGTGTTGGCTGCACGTCCAGTCACTTTCTGAGTCATCCAACACGGCCGTATTCAGTTCCAATCAACCATTTTGGGACTAAAATTGATAAGTTTTTTTTTAATAAAACTAAAATTAATAATTATAATATTGTACGGGATCAAAATATATTTTTACTCATATATAAATAGACCGAGAATATTATTTTGACTGGAACAAAATATGGGCATCTAACAGAATCCTATTTATAAATCAAATTATACGCAGACCCAAAAATTATCTCACCAAACTATGCTTTTCCTTAGCCACTAAGAAAAGAGAAATAAATAATTTTTCAAACACTTGGAAATTATATAATGATGCATCACTGTCGAGTGACAAGTGGCTCATAAACTTTCTTGAGCCCCGAATATAAATAAAATTAATTAATTAATTAATTAAGAGAGAGAATCACACATATTATAGAGTTAGGACTGAGAATATAACCTACCAGCAGAAAACTAATAATGATAATTTTCAAATATTTTATTTTTTTAAAATAAAAAATTAATTTCTTACACTTTCGGACTCCAAAGGCTCCACAAAGGCGAACTGAATATTCCAATGACGTCCGGCAACACCTTCCTGGCCAACGCCTTATGCCTAGACGGCGGCGCCGCCGGGGCGAGTTGAACCTCCGCCGTGCGCTCTACTTCCTTAAAGTCGGGATCTTTCTTCTCTTTCTCCGACGCAGCGGCGTCTTCTCGAGTCGCCGGAGATTCCGTCGCCGGTGGATGAAGAGCCTCTCCGGAAGGTGCACTGGCGGTTTTCCGGCGAGGTATTTTGTCCTTCCGGCGGGTCTTGGTTCGGTTGGAGTGGTGGGTGCGGTCCTCGACGGCGTCAATGGCGCGGTGGATGAGGTGGCGGTTGGGGGAGGAGTCCCAGCGGAGCCAGAAGGCGGTGTAGCAGTGGAAGCAGTCGCAGTCGAAGTGGGAGAGCGGCGGCGAGGTGGTGGCGGCGCGGCAGCACTGAGGGGTGGTGGTGGTGGTAGTGGATTTGATGGACCTTGTGAGCATGTAGAGGAGAACTTCGAGGTCGTCGGCGGGGAGGGCGGAGACGACGGCGAGGATGGCCGCCGGGAGGAGGCTGAGGACGTCGTCGGAGATATGGGAATGTAATTTGTAAGGATGGACTTTGCTGCGCATTTTGTTTTTCATTTTTCTTCGAAGTTACACACACAACTTGTGTTTTGAGGGTTTTATGTGTATGTCTATAGATGTAATATTATTACAAGCATACATATACAAAGGATTTTTTTTTTTTTTTTTTTTTTTTTTAAGTAAATGTAATGAAAAAGTATGTTAGAGTGAGTATGTTTTTTTTTTTTTTTTTTTTTTTTATTTATGTAGTTTCAAAAATTTTTGTTTAAATTTGATATTAAAATAATGTATAATGTGATATTTTGTGAGAAAAAAAAATGTATATTTTTTTCGAGAAATACAAAGCTCAAATAGTAAAAATATGAGATTTGAGGTTAAAGAAAAAAAACCCAAAAATATAATTTAATATTAAGATAACTAAATAGTTTAGTTAATATTAAAAAAATTTATAAATTATAAAATTTGAAATGTAATTAAAATATAAAATTATATTTTTAAAAATGAAATGATAACTTATGTAGGACAAAAATGGAAAAAATGAACATTTTATGTGTGAGAGAGAATATTGTGTAATACTGTTTTATATATATATATACGTATTTTAAATATTGTGTGATACTCCCTCCGTTCTATTCGAAATGCATCATTTCATTTAGGACACCTGGTTATTTAAGCTAAAATAGTTTAATTAATTAATAATAATGACTTATAATACTATTATTTTATTATATTTTTATATAAATAATATCTCTCTATTCCAATACAAAAGTCTTATTTATCATTTTTGTCTGTTTCAAAACAATAGTTTCATTTGCATAAATAATCATATAAACCATAAAACTATCGATACTTTTTTATTATTATAAAATTGTCACTACTTTTTATATTAATATATTTATAAGGGCAAAAAAGTCATTTATCCACATTTTTTACCAACCACCAATATAATATCGATATTTCTTAAATCTCGTGTCCAACGCAATAAAACTATACTTTTAGGACGGATGAAGTATTATTAGTAATTTTAAAATAAATATTAAAATATTAAAAAAATATTATTCTAGAGAGTAAAAAATGTGTGTTTGAGGAGGGAGAAGAGGGAGAAACCGAGAGATTTCCGATGGATATTTTCGATGAGTTTGAGTGATTGCAGCAGGATTATCGAAATCCCTTTTTAGTCTCGTGGAGTCCAATGGGTGTGATAACCGACTTCCATTTTGCGACGTGGTTACATGGGTCATATTTGACTTTTGAGTATGAGCTGAATATCAACGTTCCTATCATGGAAGGAGTTCGTCGTCGTTTATCGGTGTTGTTCAAAGAAGGCTAGAGGAAGTTCGGAATGATCGGAGGTTGTTGATAAATCATACTCGGAACACAAATCGACATAAAAATTACACTTAACTAGCGACTACACAAAAGAATCAGCCCAAAAAACACGACACACACAAAATTGAACCCCCACATAACATATAAGGCGAAACATAACAAATAAAAATGCCTACAAGTTGAACAAGTCCCTTGCGGCTACGAACAACAACAAATAGGGGGAAAAACGCGCCACAGGAACTCCATAAGTTATAGGAGAAAAGGCGTTGCCAAAAACCGCTGTGAACCGCCGGGAAAAGTCGCCATAGAAGATGGATAGAGAGGTCGAGAAAGAGAGAGGCTAAAGAGGGCGAGTGTAGAGTGTGAGAGTATTATGAGACGGCGCCTCTCTCTTCTCTCTATATATAGGTAGGTCAAAGGCGAATGGAAAGCCAAAATCACAAACCTAAAATGGACGGCCCAGATCGTGTCTAGCAAAGGATGTGGATTCTCAGCGGGTATGGGTCAGGATAAGTCGATAGCTTTGGGTCAAGCACAAGGTTGGCCAAGGGTCGCGGGTCACAGGTCGGCTCATGGGTAAGTGAGAGCGGTTTTGGCAGGCGGGTCATGGGGCGCGTGTGTGGGTCGCGAGTTAGGGTCATGGTTCTAATGGGCTGCATAACTGGGTGCGTGTGTCTTATTTGAGGTGGATCCAATTTGACTAAAAATTCCAACAAATTCTCTATCTGATTTTTTGTCCGAGTGGCTGAAGTATATCATTGCCCATAGATTTGAATTACTTACCTGCAAAAAGAAAAACATTAAACCAAGTTAGTCTAAGATACATTAATTTAGCCTACCATCTACACATATGTAGAACATAACTAATCAAATGTATCAAAGTATATAACTTTGAAGCGAGATAAACTTTATTAATTTTCCATGATATTGTATATACGACAACAGAAATATATTCAAATCTAAACATTGATAAAACTACATTATATTGTAAATGTGTCATACAATCAAAACATGTAACCCACAATATACAAAAAAAAAATAATAATAAACTGTAGCAAACTTCATAAGTTTCATATCATTCATAACCAATAATAACATAACACAAATGAGCCAATAACAAAACTTAAGAACTAATTTCAAACAATTATTACTGACTAATGAGTTATTATCTTCACATAGCACCAAACATTGAGACTTATATTCAGGATTTACTATTTTCCTAACAGACATAGGATAATCCACATAAAAGCTCTAAATATCACATGGCAAAGAAAATGAATCAAAATCACCAAACATAGATAATAACACTTTACGACTATTCCTAAATTCATCTCTGACCAATAGATAATTTTCAATCTCATTACTATTATTCGAAACAATTCCAACATTACTTTTACTTTAAAAAAAACCGTATTTTCAATTTTACTCACAACATGCTGGCAAAGTAGAGATAAAATTGGAAAATCACCAACAAAAATATCAATTTCACTATATAAAACAAAATCCACCACATTTTGAACACCATACAACAAAAAAGTATTAATTTCTCTATCTAAATTGATATTATCAGTTTCAACATCAATTTGCACAATTTCAGCAGATTGAAAACAAGTTTCATTAGATATACAAATAATATCATCACAATTAAAAACATAATTTCTCACTTTCTCAACCTCTGAATTTTCGTTTCTTAGACACACTCTCAGCAACACTACAGTTAATTATAGAATCAGTCTCAGTAATTTCAATATGTCAACAAATTGCATATTTTTGGATTCACAGACAATATGTTGAATATCAGTACATTCAAAACAAAAATCAGATTTTACAGGTTTAATTTCTTCATTTTCTATATCAATCAAATTATGTTCCACCTTATTTCTAATATCACAATAATCTGTATTGTTTTTAATAGTTCCAGAATCAACCAATTCAGATTCTTCAATATTCAAACATGGCATACAACATTCATTAAATGTCACATTATTACTAATAATAGTTTTAAACCCGGGTTTAGAACTTAACCACAATCTATACCATGTAACACCATAACCTAAGAAAATACAATTTTCAGTTTTCATTTCAAATTCATCAGTGCAAATATGTATCACAACAAGACACCCAAACACACGAACATTAGATATGTCGACTAATTTACCCAACCACCTACTTTCAGAAATTTCACCATTTAGGGGGATAGAGGGTGTACGATTTAAAAGATAAATTGTCATTACAGCAGTTTTACCCCAAATTTTTTTGGATAAACCAAATGAAGCTAAAATACTTCTAACTCTCTCCATAAGAGTCTAGTTTAGCCTTTTAGCAACCCCACTAGATTGGGGTGTTATGGGGACAGTGTCAAATTTCATACAATTTTGCACACAAAATTTATTGAACCAAGTATTACGAAAATTCAAACTATTATCAATATAAATACATTTAATTTTTCTGTCAGTTTCACCTTCAATTTGAATTTTTCAATTCTTGAAAATTTTGAACAAGTCTAATTTATTTTCAATAAGAAAATCCAAATTTTTCTAAAAAATCTTCAACAATAGTTAAGATATATCTACTCATTTTTTAAGAAATAACATTTTCAGGGATTTTTGACGAAAATTGAACTTTATTTAATTTTCTAGATTCCCATATATTACAAGAGGGAACAACAAATTTTTTTTTCATTTTCCAAATAACCAAATTCATGCAAAATTTTCAGACCATTATTGCTAACATGACCCAACCTCTTATGCCATAATTCAAAATTAACAATTTCAGAATTATCAGAATCATAACATGGATTAACAGGTATAGTAGAGGTTACATAAAGTCATTTTTCAATTCTGCCCTAAAAATCACTAAAAAAACCTTATGTTATTTCATGCAATTTAAACCACAGTTTCCTTCTAAACCTAAAGTACATAATCTAACACATGAACACAGATTATTAGACAACTCCGGCACATATCTCACATAATGCAATTTCAGCACATTTTCATATTTAAATTTCAGATTAATAACATCAATTCCTTCAACTTTACACACACATTTATCAACCATAGTAACATAACAGTGTGTTAAAGTCTTAATTCACAAAAAAAAAAAAAAAACTTTTCAGATGTGTCATATGGTATGTGCAAGCATAATCAACAATCCATTCATTAGCACTAAAAAAATTCGAATTTAAATCTGGACAATATTTTATTACTATTATTTTTATTAGCTTTATTATTATTATTATTATTATTATTATTATGTTTCTTAGGGCAATTTCTAATAAAGTGTGAAGGATCACCACAATTATAACATCTATTTCCTCATTTATTAGGAGTTTTAGATCTATTTTGATTTTTATTGTTATTATTCAGATTTGTATTCTTATTATCATAATTTATTAGATTTATTTACATTCAAATATAATTCTTTACTTTTCAAACCATTAATAACCACAACTAAAGTTACAAAATCACACCTATATTTAATTGTTGATTTTACATCACTATAATCATCTATATTTTTATCACTAGTAAGCTTAATATCTTGAATTAATTTTTTAAAAATATCAAGTTTTTCATCAATAGTTTTAGATTGATCAAGTTTAAAACTAAAAAACTTTTCTAACAAATAAAGTCTACTAGGTAAAGAAGTTAGAGTATATAGCTCATCCAATTTATTCTACAATGCCACAACAGATTCTTGTCTACCAACTTTACGAATTACATCATCAGCTAAATTTAGATTTATGTAAGATGAAGCCATTTCATCCAACTCAGCCCTCTTTTCGAGAGAGACTGTAGTTGTTTCATCCG